GAACAACCCCTTTCACAAGATATTGTTAAATATCTCCAATTACATGATTTGTATATCATCTTGGTTCTGGATTAACCACAGTTACAAGGATGTGCAATTTAAAAGAAGATACCATTTGCTATGAAGACATATGCCTGGGAATGTCCTTGCAAAGATTATTCCAAAGGAACACTGTCCTATCAAAAATCCTTCTTTACAACATGGCTGGTTTACACAAATTAATTTTAAATTGGAAAGACTCTTAAGAGGCTATCTTATTTTCAATATACATTATGCTATTCTGGTTTTGTGTGTTATTTATGGTATACACCAAATGGGAGCAGTCAGGAGACTGATTTTTACTTTGTAGCACTTCCACAGCAGGACAAGAATATTTGGTTGATGTACAGCTTTATTCCAGTGTCTTTATTCCATTATCTGGAAGGTCTGTTTTGACTATTCACAGTTTAGATCCTTGTTTGGGGCAGATGTCTATTAAATACTTGAAAACTGTTCTGTCCATTAGGTCTCCCTTGAGTCTCCTTTTCTCTATGGAACACCACTCTTCCGTTTCTCTCACAGACATCCACATTGGATCTCGTTTCTCTGCCCTATGCCAGCATGCAGTGTCTTTCCTGAACTGCAGCAGAGTGGGCAGAACTCAGCTGAAGGCCTGTTTCAGACATGGAAAAGCACTGGTGCAGGTTTTTGCATACAGAAAAAATAAGCTGACACAGCGTGAACCACTGCAGGGGGTGATAAACATTCCTGTCTGAGTTTTGTACATTTCCCATGCCTTCTTCCTGGTGTAGAAAACAGCCAACTGTTTGAAAACTAATATAAACAACATTCTGAGTCTCCTTTGTCTCTACAACCAGCAAAGTGTTGTACCTCTGCAGTACAACCTGCTAGGGCAGGCTTCTGGCGACCTGAAATGGTAGCTACTTTAGGAGAGGTGTGGTAGCTACAGCTGCAGAGAAAAGCAGCAATTCCTACTCTGTCACTGTTCTAATCCCCAAAATTTGCACTGATCCTCTCCATTCCTCAAAGCCTAGACCCACAAGGAATCCCCTGGAAGACTATGCTACAGAGCATAAATTTCATTTTTACCTGTGTTGTGGAAATACTGTGACCCCATCGGTTGTGCTCAGCCAAGCTGAGCAGACACAAGGATCCTGTTCACACACCCACCAACACTGTCTGACTTCTTCTGACAACATGATATCGACTCAGGACAAGGCACTTTTCTGCAAAATTGCTCATCTTATATGATTTTCATTACTAATCAGCTCCCAGAATGAAGAAGAAACATTTTTAAACTGATAATAAGAAACACATAAAACATCTGTATCTTTTAGCTACCGATCTTACGCTTTACCACATCATATTTTAGAGACATGGTAGTGCCTCATTAAGTTTTCCCATTAAGAAATAAAATTATGAGATCGATTTGCTCATTCAGTAGTGTCCACAGACTAGATTAAATATATATATATATATATTAATTATGCTTATGAAGCTAAGAAAAAATATCTTCAGATTACTCTTTTCCCTTGTAACATCATGTACTTAAAATGTGTACAAGTTCAGTAAGAAAGAAAAAATCTACAGAATTAAAAAGTAACTCTACATATCTCATCACACCCATTTCACCTTCTTTCCCTGCCTTTCCCTCCCTCTAGAAGGTATTCATAACTCTTCTCTCTCAGACTCTCCTATATTCTTATTAACGTTGTGTTTCAACTAATTTGAAACGCAGACACCCAAATGATACAACAAATTAAGTTATGAAAAGGCAAATCTGCTCTCCATGCAGGGCCTGAGAACAGATTAATGAGTCTGCTCAGTGTTTAAGGATAAGCCTGCCTCAATGCAGTCACATGTTTTTAAAAGCCAAGATGTGTGCTTTAAAGCAGCATGACCACAGGAAACGATTTCCATAATTTCAGCCTTTTAAACACTTTTCCTTGCATAATTTCATTGACCCACTTTCTACCTTATACACATCTCCTGAGAGATTCTGCGTCGTTAAAATCCCCAAAGTCACAGACACATCATACATATCAGCAGTGAACAGCTTGGAAAGTCTGGAAAATAAAGAAGGAAAGAAAACAAGAGATGTTTATTTGCAGTACAGCTGATGAAGAATAACCACTATGCCTATGCACATCGTGACCAGCCATGGCTCGTGGCTGCTGGCCAAGCAGCCTCCAGCCTTTTTCATGCTGTTCTACATGTCAAAATAACCAAGTTGTGGTTACACAAATAAGACACACACTGTTGGGCATGGAAATAAACAACCGGTGTAATAATAACTACCTGCACACCATTCTGGCACTCTGGTAGTGAGTCAATTCCATTTCAATGAAAATATTTTACAGATTTTCAACCAACTCCAAGATTTTTGTGATATTTTCAGTTTATTTGTTGAACTCTGTTAGCAGTTTACATATCACACAAGTTACATGATGAAAATAAGTCTTTAAAAATACTTAATTATATAATTATATGCATAGGAAACAGAAATAGACATTTACCATGAAAATCTTAAACTGTGGTCTCTCTGTGGTTTAAATGTTTATTTCTGTCTATTAATATGGATGGTCAGTTTAAGTTTTATATTAAAAAAAAAGTGAAATCATTTCTGTTCAACAGAATTCTTTGCAAGACTAAAATTATAGTCAGAAAACTGTTTTTGCCTAATAAAGCCAGTTGGTGGCTTGGGTCCCAGACACCAAGTGACAATCTTGCTTGTCCAGACTCACCACTGACAAAAACAGCTATTATGAAGGTAAGAACAGAATAAACATTTGTGTAACAGAACTTCTTGGGAAATCGGCTTAGGCAAGCTGCTCAGGTAAACTGGTGGTGGGGAGGAAGGAGGTGGGAATGTCTTTTCCCAAAAGGGTTTCAAGGCCAGGTGGGATGGGTCTCTGAGCAACCAGGTGTAGTGGAAGGTCTCCCTACCTGCTGCAGGGTGGTGGAACGAGGTCATCTTTAAGGTCCCTTCCAACCCAAACCATACTGACTTAGTATTTAAAATGGTATGTCCTTGGAAATCACCAAGTTTTAATGTGAAGATGCTCTGTTGGCAGCTTGTTCCAGTGGTCAGTCAGACTCTGAGACATGTCTTACATATTTGAATCTGTCCACGACTCTTGTTAAAACCCTCCTTCACTGACTTCAGAACATTCTGTGCTTTTTTTTTTCCCCTCTGTACAGGCACTCATGCGATATGGCCAAGTCACCACCTAGTGTTCTTATTTTGCTAAGTGAGCTGCTTACATATTTGACCTTGCAACTATTTTAAGCATTTTTTTCCCCACACCTTTGGCAGTTCTTTTAATGGCACCTTTTCCAGTGTTTCAACATCCTATCAAGAGTGTGGGTTTCAAAAATGGTACAATGATCACAGCTCTCAGCTCTGCAGTGCTGAGGAGTGACAAAGTGGCACAGTCACACAATATGATTAACTTTTAAAAGGCCTCGGAGACTTATAATGAGCTATACTCAATGCAATAAATCAGGACCAGATAAATTGTATTGGAGTAGTTCTGCATTGAGTTTAGATGCTTTCTTCATTTCAATGTGACCACTTCCTGGGATGTGATACATCACACCAGGGACCTGATATCCTCCTGTGAAGGCACCTCTGCTCTTCTGTGCCACTTCCTCAGGCCTCTCCAAGAGCCACATGGGGTGTGAGCAGGCTGGGGGTCCTGTGTGGAAGTGTCACACGGTGGGGCGATGGAAGTGACAGAAGCAGGACAATCACCTCCTTAGACTGGCTGGTGATGCTTTCTTTGATGCCAACCATGCCCTGGGGTGCATCAGGCACAGCAATGACAGCTGGTCACGGGAGGGGATTGTCCCTCTCTGTTCTGCACTGGTGTGGCCGCACCTCAAGTCCCATGTGTAGATTTGAGGGCCACGATATAAAAAGGACTTCCAAAGGAGGGCCACAAGGATGGCAAGAGTATGGAGGGGAAGCCTTATGAGGAGGAGTTGAGGTCACTTGGTTTGTCCAACCTGGAGGAGACAGAGGGGACATCTCATTATTCTCTTCAACATCCTCCTGAGGCGCAGCAGAGGGGCAGACACTGATCCCCAACCAGTGACAGGAGCCGGGGGAATGCCATGGAGTTGTGTCAGCGGAGGTTTGCGCTGGATATCAGGAAAGGGTGGATATCACCTGAGAGGGTGGCTGGCCACTGGAACAGGCTCCGCAGGGCAGTGGTCCCAGCACCAAGCCTGAGTTGTAGATGTGTTCTCAGGCACACGGTGTGACTCTTGGCGTGTGCTGCGCACAAGAGCTAGGCTCGATGATCCTCCTGGGTGCCTCCCAGCTGGGGACAGCCCGTGATTTGTCAGTCTCCATTTTCTCCCGCCGCCTACTCAGCGCCTGCGGTCCCCCACGGGAGCTGTGGGGAACGCCGGCGGGAGCGGCGCAGGGCGCCCGAGCCGTGCAGGCCCCGCCTGCTGGGCCATCGAGCGCTGCCGCTGCAGAGCGGCCGGCCGGGCGGAGCGGCACCGGCGCCCCCCGCGGCCGGGCGGTGCTGGGCCGGGAGGGGAGGCGGGCCAGGCCCTGCGGGAAGGCGGTGCCCGCCACAGCTCAGCGCCGCCGGGGCTGCCGGGCCGCGGGACCGCCTCAGCGGAGCCGGGCCGGGCCGCCGGCAGGGCGGGTGAGCGAGGCTGCGGGCGGCGGGGCGGAGAGGCGGCGGGCGGGCTGCGGGAGGCGGGGAATACCGGTGCGGGCGGGCCCGCGCGGGGAGCGGCGGCGCAGGCGGGCGGTTTGTGCGGGCTCCCCGGCCCGCTGCTGCCGTGGCCGCTCGGTGCAGGGGGGTCCCTGCAGCGGCTCCTCTCTCTGCCCCTGGGGTTGGGACGGGCACCGCGTTTCGCCGAGCACCCGGCCTGTGATGTGACATCTGCCCGGGGAACTGCGGCTGGCCCGTGTGCTGCAGGAGGCGGCGCGGGTTTGGGCACAAGAATGCATTGGCCAGTGGATCTCTTGCTTTTTTTGCTTTACCAGGGCCGGTGGGATAGTGCAAACGCCCCTTGTGACACAAGAACCTCTCCAGACGGCCAGGAGGCTTTGGCATCTTTTAGTGTCTTAGGAGGCACATTATCTCCCATCTCCCTGCCATCAGTAAGTATTGCCCAGCAGTGTGTGGGGTTCTAAGCACAGCGAACATCCAGTGTTAATTTTCCTGGAGCTGGTGGCTGTTTAACAGGACTGAGGTTGGTTATGGAGGAGAGGCCAGGTAGATGGTGGAGAAGTTGTATTGGAAGTATCTTGAGTTCTCTGCTGTGAGGCAGGATTCAGTGTACTTAAACTTATCCCTGACAGACATTTCCTTAATTGGCTCTTACAGATTATGAAATTCATGGAGTGCCTTCCCCTCCTCTCCAAGGTAACCTGCTTCAACGCTTAGCTATCACACATAGTCAGAATTCTTCCTTAATAGCTGACCTAAATCTTTGTTGAAACTAAGCTGATTATTATCATGTACTGTCCAGAGTATACCTGGAGAACAGTGGATGGATGTTCTCAAGTTCCCACTCACAGTCTTCTCAAGACAGAGAACCTACTTCCTGTGTTTCTCTGATCCCTTAACTTTGTTAAGCATTTCCATCATCCATAAATTCACAAGTAGGTTCAGTGTAGGTGCTGTTAGCAATGAAGAAGTGTGGCTATAACCTCCTTTGTGTATCTCCATCCCTCTTAAAACATTCCAGAATGAATTATTCTTACTTGGCAACATATCCCACATTACTGAAATATTCAGTTTGTGATTTGTAAGCCAGATCCTTTTTTGCTATACCTCTGCCGAGGGAATTATTCCTGGAGAGGTATCCAAGTTGGTGTTTCTGTTTTTAGGTTTTGGTTTTTTTTAACTAAGTGTATTATTTTGCACTTGTTATTAGGTTGAGAAGAAGCTACTTTGGTCATAATAATATAACCTTCTATACAATTTTAATCTCTGAAATCCATTCTTGCAGTCCTCTTTCTACAAGTTTAGGGTCATCCACAAATAATTAAAATACTGAGTGGTGCCAGTTAATGCTGTCAAAAAAATTTCTTTTTCTTCATGTTTCCTATTAAAACTGCATCCTGTGCCATGGCTTTACATCTGAGCTAATTGTGTGGGGATCTTAAATTAGGAAACCATCAATTCCTTTTAACTGTCTTTTATTCACAGAGTAGGGATGTTCACGGCTCAAAAATTAGAAATTCATGTAAAATCCTGAAGTTTTCCAAAGTGTTGGTGCCTTCTGTATGCCTTCTTTTAAATTCTTTTTTTCTTTCATTTCCTCAGAAAAAATCTACTTTCATCCTAACTTTCTTCAAAATTGCATTTGCTTTCTTAGAGAGCTTTCTGGGATAACCATCCAAATGCCTCATTCTCATACACTTAATACAGGATCAGATTTGTAGATAATACATTAATGCTTGGTTATATTTGTAAGGGATTACTTCATCTGACCACAAATGCTCCAGGAAGTTGAGAGTGAGCAGCAATATTTTGAGAATTGTTGATATTGAAGTAATTAGAAAATTTCTGAGAACAGCAGCTTATTGATTAGAATGAAAGAGCTGGTCTTGTGATGAAAATGCAGCAGAAATCTGATGGTAAGCCTATAGAATCATCAAAGTTTCTTTCTCTTAAAATTGCATTTCATGGTGGAAACATCATAAACAAAAAAATTACTCGGCTGGGAATTAAGCATAGGTGAACATCATGTGTATATTGACTTCACTGGAAGGAAGAGTCCAGCACCAGCAGGGTCATAAGCTAAATAATCATCCAGGTACTGTTCTCTGTCTTCTACAATAATTTATTTTTCCTTCTCATTCTATTCTATATAGATGTTCTACTTTAAAAGTCATGGAGCTGGGAAAGGCGAAGCTCCTGCGAACTGGCCTCAACGCCTTGCACCAGGCCATTCACCCCGTGCACGGGCTGGCCTGGACGGACGGCAAGCAGGTGATCCTGACTGCACTGCACCTGCAGAACGGGGAACCCAAATTCGGTGACTCGAGCGTGGTCGGTCAGTTTGAACACGTGCATGGGCTGTACTGGGGCCCGTGTCCCGCCGAGGCCCCGGCCCTGCTCGCGGTGCAGCACAAAAAGCACATCACCATCTGGCAGCTCTGCTTCAACGGCACCGACAGGAACAAGCTCCTGGTTTCCCAGATCTGCGACATCAGCGAGCCGTATCCCGTGCTCCCCCAGGGCTGCGTGTGGCATCCCAGCAAGGAGGTCTTGGCCGTGCTGACCACCCGGGACGCCTCTGTCTTGCCTTCTGTCCACCTCAACAACTCCAGAATTAACGCGGACATCAAGGGCAGTGGGCTCATCCACTGCGCCTGTTGGACCAAGGAAGGCAACCGCTTGGTCGTGGGGGTGGGCAGTGCCCTCCATTCTTACATTTGGGATGATGCTCAGAAAACACTCAGTGCTTGCTCTTTTTGCCCAATCTTTGATGTGGGAGGCTACATCTGTGCCGTGGAAGCTACACAGAATTTACAAGTCGCTGTTGCCACCGAGCTCCCTCTGGACAAGATCTGTGGCTTAAATGCTGGTGTTGCCTTTGAAGTTCCCTCGAGCATTGAAACTGAATCTTTTCCCTCACAGTCCAGCTTGTGTGGTGAGGAAGAGTATTCCTTGGATGGAGGGAAGAAGTCACTGGACTCTGAGAAGCCCTTGTCTGTAGTTACATCTCCTGTGGATCTAACCCACATACTTTCTAACAAGCAGGGTGCTGATTCCAGCCCTCTCCTTCACCTGAGGCCCAAGGACTACCTGACGGGAAGTGGCCAAGATTCCTCACACCTCATCTTGGTGACTTTTGAAAGAAAGGTTACCTCTACCAAAAAAGTGAGCATCCCAGGCATTCTTGTTCCTGATATAATGGCTTTTGACTCCAAAAATCAAACTGTATCTGTTGCCTCCAATACTTGTAATGTTATTTTAGTCTATTCACTGACTTCATCCAATTTACCCAATATCCAACAAATTCAGCTGGAGAAAAGTGAGAAGCCAAAGGGTTTGTGCTTCTTGACCAATAAATTGTTACTGATACTAGTTGGAAGACAAAAATTCACTGACCCTGCTTTTCTTCCTTCTTCAAGATCAGATAAATACATGATCCGATTGATGATTAAAGAACTGCTAATTGAAATGGGTCCTTCAAAGTCTGTGTCAGCTGATGGCAGCTCCAGTTTGAACCTTTCCAACATTACTCATGATCCCTCTAGAGATGTCCACCCTCTCAGCCATGGGCTCCTGATACCAGATCGCTCTGCCCTTCAGTCCCCTACAAGCCGAAGGAAACTCATTGAAGAAATCAAGAGTCCTGTTTATGAAAAAAACTTGATGTTGAACATCAGTGACTTCAAAGACAAAAAGATTTCCATGAGTTTTCCTCCAGCTGTCGAGACTTTGGATGCTGAGCCAGTTAATCGGAGCTTGGCACTGTCTAATGCTTCGAACAAGCCAACGTCCCCGAAAAGGCAGCCTGAGGCAGCTTCCAAAATACCCAATTCTTACAAGAATAACTTGTTCAGTGAGAAGGAGGCGAGTAACTTCTTGAAAAATGTAGAAAAATTGTCCGGTAACTTCACAGAATTGCAGCACCATCTTTCTGAATTAACAGAGCTGCTAAAATCTGGGAAGAGAAATCTTCCAGTGTACCCATCTTCTCACGAACCCTCATTTATTAACATCACCTGCCAGGTAATTTTAATATTGGAAGTCTTAATGGTGAAACCTGTTTATGGCTGTATGTTCTTTGTAATGCTGGAGTAACAGTCAGTAGGATTAGATTTCCGTCCTGTTCCTCAGGTAGTTTTATATGGTTATAAATTCCATTATTCTGCAACCTTCCAGTGTTTTTAAAGTAATGGGATATCCAGGAATGTGCAGCTCCCTATCCCTACCTCACACTGGGCCAAACCCCACAGCTCTACAGTGCAGCTGTTGGGACTCCAGAGGACCCACATGTCACAGCCCAGCTGCAGAACTAAAGCCCTTTATAGAGATCTAGGAAGGGAATGCTTTTCCTAGGCAACTTCTAAAGCTTTCTGTATAGAAATTTAGACAAGTGAAGATTTCCACGTGTGGGAATTGGTATCAATCTCCTGCTCTCCGTGAGGAAAACTAAAATAATGGAGACTGAAACAAAAGCAAATTGCCTTGGCTTTGAAACAGAAATGTTGCTAATTAGCATTGAGAGCACCATCCAAGGAGGAAAGAGACCTTTAGGGACACAATAGATAATTCCATTAACATAGCTTTAAAATGGATTTAAAGTGAAATTTCATATGAAAAACACATTTTCTGGCTGAAAGATTTGCTCTTGCAAATCTCATGCTAGAAAGGATAAATTACCTGATTATCAAAACCTGTCAGGGATCTACTAGGTCATTTCTAGAATTCAGATTAATAAACCTTAGTCAATATTCAAAGTAGTTTAAACTGACATTTTCTTTTCAATTAGCTCTTACTTTTAAGCTTTATTGCAAAAAATTATCAACTTTTGTAGCATTGAACTCAAATTCTAGATCATATTCCCTCACTCTCTTCACTGTTTCCTATTGTAAACATTTAATAATTATAATAACAGAATTAAAAAATGCTTTGATTTGCCCAACTGGGCATACTCTTTGAAGATGATTTTTGGATTTAAGGCTCAGAGCAGTAATGGTCAGGGGTGGGAAAGATAAGCCCTTCTGACTTGTGAGTCTGTTCCTCATGCCAGCATTCATGACTAGGTGTTCTCACTTGTGAAGCTTTGGGTCAGGGATGGGTGGGGGAAGGTGGGGATAGAAAACCTGTAGCTTTACAAGCTGCCTGGGGAAATGTCCCTCACAGATGGAAGGATGGGGATGAGGATTGTGCTGTGGATGAAGCTCATGGTTTCTTCAGCAGCAGTGCATGGTTTTCTCTCCTGTTCTGACACATGCTGGATAAGCACTGTTCCTTGCTGCTGTCACTCACTCATCAGCACTTTGACAGCTGAGACTTGAAAGGATAAATCTTGCAAATGGGCCCAAATGTGTGTAACATTTTACTTTCTGTAAATGATGCCACTGAAGACATGTCTGTGATCCTATTTTGATTAATGCCATTTTAACTATACATCACAGTAGCTAATGACTGTGTCTTGCATTTTCAGAAGCAGCTTTCCAAAAGTGACGCAGATGAAAGTCGGGCAGTTCTTCTCTGTGGTGGTAGACTCCGCCTAAACATCGTCCAGCAGATATTCAACCTTTCCCTTGTGGAAATGCAGCACGGTATGTCGGGATTGTCCAAGAGTACAAACACTTCAAACACGTTGCTAGAGACGCTGTGGCTGCCCCATCCCTGGAAATGTCCCCCACCCAGGCTGGATGGAGCTTGGAGCAGCCTGGTCTAGTGGAAGGTGTCTCTGCCCATGGCAGGGGAGTGGAGCTGGATGAGCTTTAAGGTCCCTTCTTACCCAAACCATCTGTGATTCTGTGTCACTGATTAGTGAGCAATAGCAATAGGCATATTCCATCCAGGGAAAAACCCAAGGAATAAATAATGAAAGATTAATAAAATTTTGCTTTTAATAATGTAAAAATAAAATTCTTCTGTGAATCTTCTTTTACTGAGAAGAATCTCTGCATTATTAAAAGAAAAAAAGAAGAATAGAAAACTTACATATTGATTCCCCTTATCAAGTAATAAGTTATACAGGGAAATTGCTTTCAGACAGCATTTTACTTGTTTTCAGCTGCTCTACAGAGAGAAGTCTGAGTAACAGGGGGGTTATGGTTGACTGGTGGTTTCGGGAGTACTACAGAACACTAGAGTGTTCTATATTTGAATCTGTTGCTCCAGCATTTAGTCTTTCTTTAGGAAATCCTGTAGCACAGAAGCAGCTCTGCACTTCAGCAGTGCATTTTGCATCAGGTTTTGCTGTGAAGAAAACTGCCTCTCTTACTGCTGCTGTGTTCTCTTCTGCTGTTACCAGTTCATGCCATGCCCATCCTGTCTCATCCCATGTGTCATTTCTGAGTGTCTCACCTTGGGCAGAGGTAGAAAACACACCTTGGGATATGATTTTTCACTACAGCAGCTATTCCCTGTGCTATATTCCATCTGCTTGCCCCTGTATCTCAGCAGGCTCTCTGCTTGATTGCATATCACTGGGCAACCATCCCAAAGCCTAGGGCTGCTGTTCTTGCCTTGTCAAAGTTTTATTTCTCCTAAGGAATTGTTGATGGAATATGTTTGAAATATACAGATGCAAAGTAGGAATGGTATTTTCAAATCCTGAGTTGTATTGATTTTCAAGTTTGGTCCAAATTAAGCCAAAAGATTAGAGGGTTGTGTGCTTTTAAGCTACAATCTTCTTGTGACCTTACTTGTGACGTAAAGTTACATAATGTAAATTTACAAACAGCTGGGAACGCTTCTCTGAATTCCCTTACCCCTCATGAGCTCTATTTTCTTGCTTCATCAGCTTAATGGATAAAAATATAAAATTTTTCTGCTTTATCTATATTGGTAGAAGTTAGGGTTTCAGATTCAAATTGTAAAGAAAAAAGGTAGTGATGAAGTCAAATAGCAAATGGACCAGAGATGTTTGCTTTGTACAGTATTGTAAAGTATTCCTTCCTTGTATTCCTTCTTGGAATTAAGTTATAGTGAAATTACATAATACAAGCAGTTTCTAAATTGTCTTTATTGCATTAATTTCTCATTTAATTTAATAAATGTTTGTTTTTTGTAATATCTGCACAGCTTTAGCACTGTGAAGTAGCTTATTAATACCTAATTAAAACCAAATGTGGGTGCTTATGAATTCTGTTCAGAATTTCATTCCTTCTCCTCATTTGAAGCATGCATTTATTGTCTCATCTCCTAGTGGCAAAATCCATCATAGTTGCCAAGTGTCTTTTATTTTTGAGATTGTACAACCTGTATCTTTTCATACTTTTTCTTTCTAGAAAGCTGTAAATATACAGAAGCATTTAATTTTAGAAGAAATTTGTTTTTTGCCTTAAACATACCCTAATTACACAAAAATTTACCAACAGCCATGTGCTTGTCTTTACAGGTTCCTCTTGGATTGTTCTCACAGCAGACAGCGAGGGCTTCATCCCATTAAAGTTTACATCCACACAGGAGATCCTCATCAGAGATGCCACTGCAAAAGGCTACAGTGCCCGCTCTTCCAAAACTCTGGACATCATCAGTTCCACACAGGGGTGTAGATCCACTTCTGAAAGCCTGGATATCACCAGTTCTCTGGAAGTCCTGAGGGACTGCTCCTCCAAGACCTTGGACAGCATCAGCCCTTCAGAAGAGCCCAGCAATAAAATGTAGTTTTTGACAGTGGTTTTGCAATGCCTGTCTGGTGATGGGAGGCTTTTATGTTTACTGTATGGAACTGCAAATTATCAACAACAGTCTCAAATCTCTGTACAATTTCTATAGTTTTTTTGTTGCATTGTAAATTATTTATTTGATCCTTGGAAACATTAACTTTTTTTTATACTGAGCAGTGTTTTTTAACTATGCCTCTTGCAGTACAAATGAGGCTGAATATGTGCATTCTTAAAAGTTTCTGAGCTCACGTTTCCATCTTGGTCTTTAATACATTGGTGTTTTTAGATTATAGTAAACTTGGATAATAAAGAAATCTTTGAAAATGCTGCCCCGTTTTCCTCTCTTCTGCTGAAGCCTGAAATATTAGACTGGTGCTATTTAGGAGTAGTGCCTGCAGAAGTGCACCTGGGTTTGCCCTGGTCTAAGCACCCACGTAAGGTCATGGAGTTTGGGACAAAGTAGGATCACATGAAATACCCATATTGTGTGGAAGCAAGATCCTTTTCCCCTCCTGTACGTGCCCATAACACCTCTCTGCTTCCATCTCTGTGGATTTGGGGAAGTGGTTGCCATGTGTCTCATCTTTTGTGATGAAAACATCTAGTTAAAGTCTGACAGAAGAAAATGTTCTATAGGCTTTTGTAATGAGAGAGAGAGAAAATGCAAAGTGGAAATTTAGAAAAAGTTTATGTAAGCCCAAGTTTATGTAACATGGATTTCAGTACTGAAGAAAAGACTAATCCAAGATTGCTCCCCATAAAATCACAGCATGATAACATTAAGCAGTTTATCAGGCTTTCACAGTGGCACTTACTGTATGAGAAGGCATCAAGCAACTAGATTATAGAATTGAAGCTGCTGTCTCAGGACTAAGATAATCTCTTTTTTAAATTTTTTTATTGCTTCTTTGGAAATTTAGCCACTGTTAAAAGAAATCTATCCACAAAAAGACAATATTAAAGATACAATGCTAGTATAAGCTTCAGAGAGCACTCAGCGCTGGGTGGTGAAATGACAAGTTACAGCTTTTGATGAACAAGGGAGGAGGAAAACAGGTGAATTTGACAGTTGTGGGCTCAATCTTTTACATAACAATCATCTCTTCTCAGTAATGGTCACTGTTTAATCAGAAGGAGGACCATGATTACACCTGTCCCTAACAGAAAGTCACTGAAACCTCAGCACTGGGTGTGGGTTCAAAGCAGGCTGGATGCTGGAGATGGTCCATGTTCCTCACAGCAGCCTGACAGTCCTTTTTCATGCCTGTTCCTGCTTCCAACATCCAAATAACCCATGGGAGGAGAGGGTCAGGGCTCTGCAGAACACCTTGACTTTGAGTTTCTCATACCTCAAATGCTGCTTTTGTAGTTTTGTTATGCAGCCAAACAGTGTATTAAATTTAGCTGCTTATTTTGGAATTGTTACTATTTGTGTTAGATTGAAAAAAGATAGTATCTCCTACCAGAAGTGTGCTTGGTCTCAGGTTGCATCAAACAGACTTGTGGAGCTCTTACAGCTCCCCAGGTGAGCACTAAGGACTTACCTGTGCAGGTAAGTTACATCACAGGGCAATGCTGTGTGGGGTAACTGGAGCAGACACAGCAAGTGCAAGACACCTGCTAAAAGCTGTTAATAGTTTGGTCAGATTACACTGGTTCTTCATGGAAGAACGTTCCATGTGCTCTGTGCACGTGGACAAATACTGCATTTAAAATACAATCCAAGGAATTTTGGAAGAATAAAATTCTTATGTTAAGAGACTTGCTTATTTCATGGAATCACAGAATAATGTGGGTTGGAAGGGACCTTAAAGATCATCTAGTTCCAACCCCTGCTGTGGGCAAGGACACCTTTTACTAGACCAGGTTGCTCCAGTCCCATCCAGCCTGGCTTTGAACACTTCCAGGGATCCACAGTTTGTAGGAACAATTTGTGCCAGTGAGTCACCACCCTCACAGAAAATTCCTTCCCAAAGCATAAAGTAAACCTGCTCTCTTTCAGTTTAAAGCCATTTGCCCCTTGTCTATTACCACAGTCTCTTGTAAAAAGTCCCTCCCCAACTCTCTTGTAGGCAGTGGAAGGGGCTCTAAGGCCTCTCCTGATTCTTCTCCAGACTGAACAACCCCGATTATCTCATCCTGTCTCCTCAGCAGAGCTGCTCTGGCCCCCGGAGAATTTTCAGGGCCTCCCCTGGACTCACTCCAACAGGTCTGTGTCCTTCACATATTGGGGGCCCCAGAGCTGGACACAGGACTCCAGGTGGGATCTCACAGGACTCATCTCTCACCTTCTGCCCATGCTGCTTTTGATGAAGCCCAGGACACATTTGGCACACTGGTGCACAATGAAAACACATTGATGCACATTTGGCTTTCTGGGCTCTGAGAACACATTGCCAGCTTATGTTGAGCTTATGTTTTCAGCCAACACACCCAAATATTTCCATTCAAGGCTGCTTGATTTAAAATCAAAACACCATTTCTAAATTTATGGGATGATCTGCCCCAAAGCTGAATGTTAAAAGAAGGCCCAAATAGTTGAAAAAGTACCAAGCCTAATCCAAGAATCCTTAAGAGAAGACTGCAGGGTTTTAAGGAACCTTCTTCTCTTATGGCTTTTCTTTCATGCCTGCAAGTCCCTTTGGGAATTCTGGAGATGCCCATTCTCTCTGCTTGGCCAGCTCAGCACAGCTGAGACTTTGCCAGGAGTCTGGGGTGGCTGCAGTTTTGCTTCATCCCACACAGATGTCAGCAGGTACTTCTGTGCACTGAGACCCATGATCCAACAGGGCCAGCAACTGTGGGAATTGCTAAACCTGCTAGATGTGGAAATGTGCAGATTCTATTCCATGACTTTGAAGGTGACCAAAGAATGAGTTTATTTCGGAAACACAAGGGAAGTGAAGTCCTCATGGGCTGCAGCCAGTTTGAACAGAAACTTCTTGGCCAATGTAAACAAATGTACAATTGTACAATGCCAATGTAAACCTGTTACATCATCACGGTGACAAGCCCTAGGCAGGGAAAAGCATCCTCTAGGTAAAACAGATTAAATTCCATTATGGAAAATTCTAGCGTGCAAAGGAAATTCTTTTGATCGTTTGCTGAATGTAGATGATTCCACGTACATCAGCAAAACCAGGCTGGCAGGGGATGGGTGTTGGGTCTCCAAAGTGGAGCTTTATCAGTGAAGCTGAGCAAACAACCATCATTAGCTCCATGAGACCTGAGCAATCCTTCCTCATCATCTACAGCAGAGCACGGCAAAAGTGAGGACAGACATCTGTATGTTGTAGCTTAAATTCATAGCCTCATCTAAGATCATCTGGAGTAAGAAATAGATCAGGAAATAAGATTTATTTCTGCTTCCACACTTCCACAGCAAACACACGCATTTCCCTACCATCCAGCAGTTCTGCTGCTCTCCAGATGGGGCTGGAGGCTGCTGCTCTGTAATGTCTCTAAAGTGGTACTGAGGACCCAACCCCTCTGAAAAGTGCCACAGCTGAAAAGTGCCCTGTCTTTGTTCAGCTATGTCATTCCAATTTGTGTCTTCAGAGACTGTAAATTCTCAGGTGCTACATAGCAAAAAGTGTCCTCCTCTGCCTCGGGAACAGACAGATGCTGCTGCTTCATCTTCTGAATGAAGTTTCTCAGTGAGTTAACATCTGGATTGTGCAGTAGGTTTGGTGTTTGTGAAGCAAAAGCCATCTGATTTCATACTTTAAGCCTTCAGGATATACATGTTCTTGTAACCATAATACTCAGCACTCTTGCTGAGTATCTGAACTGTGGAATTGAAAGTTAAAAAAAAAACTTACAGTGAAATTGCACAAAAACAAAATTTCCTCCTGCACCCACCCATTGTATGAGTCCAACTGAGCATCCTAGCAGTCCATAAGATTTCTTAGGGAAAAGGCTGTTATAACACTTTGTGACAGTTTTTACATAACTATGATATGAAAATCATATGATGTATATGATTTACCACTAAACTGCTGAAATCTATTGGATGGGACTTTGAGCTAACTTGCCCTTTCTTCTTCATCTTACAGCTGGACAACAGATACTAGGTCTGAAAGGATCTCAGTTTTCCTGGTGGAAACTCCTCCACTCAAGGAGACTGATTTAATTCTGTGTTTTCTGTCTACAGCCCAGAAAGGCAAGCAGAGAAGTAAATGAACAAGTGATACTTGGAGACAAACTGAACTCAAAAGCAGTTTAAAACATTTTCCTCTTCAACTACTTTGCTTTGAATGCTGAAGGTAAATAAAGATGAGAGGATGCAGCAGGGACTGAATCAAGCAGAAATTCTTATAAGGTTCAGGAGTAATTTAAGGAATTAGGACTCAAATCTTCAGAGCCCTTCCTGAAAACCCAGTGACCTGACACAGAAGGTCCCAGCCTTCAGGGACTCCCCAGGGCAGATGTCTGAGGTGGTGTCCACCTGTTCAAGTGGGAGACTGGGCAGAAGGGATCTAATCCAGCTAAGCCAAGGTCAGTCAGTGAGCTCAGGGGCAGGCAGGGGACAGCGAGGCAGGAGGGGAACACAAAGGCACAGCTGGTGGCCAACAGCAACCCCCTCCATCAGTGCCTGGTGGGAGCAGCAGCTTGGATATGGAGCTACCTGATCACCAGCAGGAACTCTCAGGGAGCTGGGGTAACCTTGGAAGGTATCAGCATTGTTGTGAGGCAGGAAAAGCAATGAAACTGGAAGAGAAGACTGGGTTGATGGTTAGACTTGATAATCTTAAAGGTCTTTTCCAACCGTAGTGATTCTATGATTGGTGACCAGTCAGCTACTGACTGCCAGTAACCATCCCGGCATGGAAGATTTGGGCTGCCCTCAGTACACTTCAGCAAGGACAAGGAATTGGACGTGGTTTGGCTTACAGAGCAATACCCAGCAACAAATAACTCTGTCATCCTTCTCTTTTCTTCCTATATTTGTTGGAATTGCCTGTGTGCAGGTGGGGAAGTGCTGCCCCTTATCACCCAGCTGGGTTAATTCAATCTCCCATATTCTTATTACTGTGTTTGGATATTACCTGAAGGAGAACCCCTGGGAATTAAACCTGGCTCCTTCTACTGCCAATCAATGGGAAGGCAAGAGGTTACATTAGATTAGCATTTAATCTGAATGCTTGTCAACATAAGAATTTGCTTCTTTCAGTCACATGTTCTGAACATGCATAAGGCATACACATCATTTAAAACTGACAAGAGACATATAAACCTCTTTCGTTTTACTGCACCAACATTGAGCCCTAAGAAAAGAAAGTTACAGAAATAATCTTACCCTGCAATTAATTCTTTGATTTACAAAAATACACCCATTTTCTCAACAAAATTACAACAACATTATATTTCTGATAATGAAATAAAATTATGGTATTTTCAAAATATAAAAATAGTCTGCTTCATTTACTCTACAGAAGCTTTATCTTTTCTTTGGTAGTTCCCATTGCTGGTACCATATGCAAAGTGAGGACTGTAAGATAAGTAAGATTCAGTAAGATAAAGATCACATTGTCTCTCTGGAGAAGAATAGTTTACAATCAAACAAGTTTACTTTCTAAGAGTCTGAATTCAGACAGGGTGTTATGCAATTTTAGAGGCAACTGCACAACTGATCTAGAAGTAATATCTTAAGCCACATTCAAATGGCTCCACTCAATCCCAGCCAGCAGTTTCTGCAGCCCTTTTATCACTGGGCTAAGTATTCAGTTTATATAAACTGACACGGAATCACTGCCTTGTAGCTAGAGATTTATAGTAGCTGAAAACACAACCCATTAAAAAACATTAACAGCCTTTACTGGGCCTTCTGGTTATTTTTAAAGATGACTATTCAGAAATACACAAATGTTACAGAATAAATCGAATGCCCCAAACTGTTCTCTCTGATGTTTTGGAGCTATGTGATATTGCTACATAACGTACCTACTTCAAAGTGCAGTAAATCTCCTATTTCAAATTCCATCAGACTCAAAATTGTAAACAGGCTTATGGTTTTTATTGTTGTAAACACATATGCCCCAGGCATACATATCTTGGTTTGTCCAAAAACTGAAACAAGGAAGAAAACAAAAAAACCCAGCCTTAGATGGCAAGTCAGCAGGAATCTTAAATGCAGTTAACTCTTACCCACACAAGCTCAAAATATATCCTTAGAAACTCCCTCACGATTAAGCATTTTGAGGAATTAGGACAGTTATATGGCCTTTGACTTCAAACTTGCCTGACAAGGTTTCAGTATCAGACTTAATGAGATGCTCCGTGGTTGCACTGATTTTACGTGCCAGTGTCCTTCAGCAAAATCTTTCCCAATTTCCAGTCCCAGCACTTCCCAGGTAGCCCTGAGCAAATTGCAGGTGGCCACTTCCTCCAGGTGCTCCAGAACAGCAGCAAGCCCGTCCTCCAAAGGCACTTCTGGTACAGCAAAAAGGCACTCACAGAGTCACAGGGTGAAGGCAGTGGGAAGAAATTCACATTTTGTCTTGCATTGTGCTGATTTCTTCAAGGTGAACAAACCTCTTGGATTCCTCACTCTCCCTTCCACATTTAGATACACCTTCAGAGTCCAGTCATTTTAGCTTAAGCTTGGAGCCAGTCTCTGGAGGTCTCTGTAGCTGCACTGACCAACCAGAAGCTAGGAATAAACAGGTCTGAACTTCAGTGCCAGAAGGTGCCTGAGATTAGGTGTGTCTTTCATTTAAAAACTGCTCAACAGTGTAAATCTATAGTAGAAATGAGGTTCCAGTTGATGTAACTAAAGCATGATAACATCCCTGACTGAAACAATAATCACCATTTAAAAGGCAGGTGTAGCCTCATTATTGCAAAATAGGTGCAAGCTGAGATTAATACCTGTGCTGTGGTGTTTTGTGAGGCAGACAACCTACACCATGTAGGAAGGGTTTGGAAGGGACTATTGATTTTTCATATCCTCAGGGGAGATGCTGATTTTGAAAATATTCTCTGACAGAAATCAGTTTATGGGTTTCAGAAGTAAGAAACATCAGTAATGGGAAATGCAGGGTTCTATTTACTATAGGATCCTATAGGAACCTGTAAATTAGATTACCTCAAAATCTTTCAAAAAAAAAAAAGGGAAAAAAAAATCCTCAAAATATGTCTGCATCAGTGATTTGCCTAATTTCAAAACAAAGTAAATCCTAACTTCATATAGTATACTTCAGGTTCCCAAGTGCTTTCCAAACACAATAGTGTGCAAGTTATAGGTAAAGATTGTGCTCAAAATCCACCCCAGCCCCCAAGGGTGAAGCATATTGTGAGTTAATATTTGGATGGTGCCTCATGAATTGGACTCAATGACCCTTCTGAGTATTTTCCAGTTCAGAACCTTCAAAAATTCTCTGGTCACATTTATACTTTTTTTTCCTCCTTAAGTTACAAATGCATAAAATATCCCATGAACAAGATCACAGCTTCTCATTAATCATTGAAAAAAAAACAAACAAAAAACCCCCAAGCCTTCAATAGCTTACATTTCTGAGTATGTGTAATGTCTTTTTTAGCACAGTGCATTGAGTTAGATGTATATTTGCACAATGGTGTCCGCTCTCAATTTCCTTACGGGCTATATCAGAATCATCCTTTGTCCTTTTTGATAAAATGTGAGCAGAGAAATGACCTGGAAAACTCTCAGAGTTGGTTGGTGGGATGTGAGTCTGTATTGGAAAGCCACTGCATTCAGAGCTTTCAGACCGAGGTGTCCTTTTTGTGGCTGTCCAAGTTCTCTGTGCTTTGATGGCTCCTCCTGGTAAAAGCAGAACAAATGATACATGAACACACTTCTGGCTTTCACTGCTGACTAATCAAGCTGTTTGCTGACAAACAGCTGAGAAAGTCCAGCAAGGTGTGGTTATTCTGGACAATGACTGAAGCCCCTGAACAGAGGGACCAGTGCTTACCCATCCCCTCCAGTCTGCCCAGAGGCCTTTGTCATATCTGCCAACCCCATGCACAGGTCTTGGATATTTTAGGGCATGAGCTGGTCCCAGGTACCCGTGCTTAGGTCCTGGAATTGACCCCTTAGCTTTGGAAATCAGTTTCCAATTCCAGTAAATTGGGATAACAAAATCAAGACAAAGGAACAATCTATTTTTTTGTTATTTTGTCCATCAGTCTGCTAGGACTGTCCTTATGTATGTCCTCAAGAGCTGACAGAGGTAGATGAATTTGAGCTAGACAAGATTTTCCTTAGAGAAGAAGAAAAAGGGAGGAAGGGAGAGTGAAAAGAGTAGAAAGGGCAAGAATAGCTCAAAGCTGACTTTTCTTCTCCCACAATATTTTGTGCCTACGCTTCTAAATGGTTTGGATGTTTCTTGTATCCCATAAACACCAAGAATGCAGTCAGCAATACAATTTTCTTCTATAGAAAAGTAAATTGTAACTATTCACATTTTCCCCGCAAATTTAATCTATGTAGAATATTCCTCATTTCTAGCCTGAAACAATGTACCACAATAGTGCTTTGTGAGGCACTCCAGAGAAAATGTAAAATAGAGCAGCTGAAATTTCTGATAAATGGCCCTCTAAGCAGGTTGTACTGAACTACAAAAAAGAGATACTGGAACATGTCATGGTACTATTCCATTAATAATTTGACTAAGAGCATGTTGTTTCATTTTTTTGTAAGGAATATAGTGATTCCTTAAAATAATTTTCCCAGATTAAGAGCTGCTGTGGGGGTGTTGCTGCTGTTTTACTGCCAGTCCAAACTTACCTTAACTCTTCAAGGGCAAGCTTTGTTTCTTTCCGACTTTCTTCAGTGATAGGGTAGAAAAGGAGTATAAATAAACCTAAAAGGATGAGGATGGCAGGGACTGCTCCAATGAGGAGTTTCAGTGTGAGGATCACATCATCTGACTGTCTGCATATCCCTGGCTTGTATCCAGTAAACCTAAACAAATGGAAACAAGTGGGGTATGTGTTTGTTCAAAGCTAAAAGGCTGTTGTTCACCTGAAGGCTTTTTTCTTCCCACCCCAAATCTTCAAGACTTTTCTCCCATTTTCCCTCTACATCTTTTTTCCTTCTCCCCACTACATTTCAAATTGTGTTTTTCAAACCTCATTTTTGTGCTAGACTTCAGATAACTGCATTACCTCTGTATTTTCTTGTTATTATATATAATATTAAAGTTAATTACTGCTGCTGAAATTGGTCCAATTACTTGCATACTTTTAAAGAAAGGATTGTGGAATGCCATGTAAGGAAATAAACTGATGCCCAGCAAATTCCTCCTGAACATGAGGCAGAACTTCTTTCCTGTGCACTGACCAGATTGCCCAGAGAGGCTGTGGAGTCTCCCTCACTGGAGATATTCCAGAACCATCTGGACACAATCCTGTGCCCTGTGCCCTGGGATGATCCTTTTTGAGCAAGGAAAGTTGAAACCAGATGAGCTACTGTGGTCCCTTCCAGCCCTAGCCATTCTGTGATTCTGTGAAATTAATGTTATGTGTTTCCTATTAATATTCAGCAAAGTATTCAAGCTCTGCTTTAAAAGCATGCAAGTAATTTGACCAATTTCAACAGCAATAATTGACTTTAATTTAAACACACACTTAAGCACTCATCTCAAGGTAGACAAATTTACTCAAGTGCTCTGAGTTAGGTACACACTTACACTTCATTGATTCAGGGCTTCCATACAGTCCCATAACTGCTGAGTTACTGAAATTCCTATTCCAAATTTGTGGAATGGGTTTTTCCTCTGAACATCCACCTAATGAAAGCTACAGCTCATTTGGCATCACTCTGTCTACTGTGTTCTCCCACAAACATCTGTCTTGGCAAATTGCTGGGACTCAACTGGAATGCAATTGAAAAGGGGCTAATTGGGGAACAGCAAATTGTTTGAAGGTTTTAGCAATGAGTAGCTAAAATTCCTAAGCCCAAAATTCCTAAGCATTGCCTGTTATTTAGCAATTTCAGCTCAAGGCCCCAAAGCAAAACATTCTGGTTACTGAAATCTGGAGCTGAGGGCTAGATTTCCCTTCTAAGTATTTATTGTGTGCTGCAGCAGGGACAGGTGTCGCTCTATTAGGAACGGCGAGAGAGCGACATAGACTCTCTAGGGAGTCGATTAGGAGAATGTTTCGTAGTTTATTACTTCAGTTCTGCTTTATAGACTGATACGTGGAAAGTACAGAAAGGAAACTCTTATTGGTTAGTAAACTACTACATTACCATCATTGGTCAGTGGGGCACACACCCCCCGACCTTCTCCTGCAAAGAAAACAAGAGACAGAGAAACAACACTTGTAAGGCTGTTTTCTGTCTTTGAGGATTGTTTTGAATCTTCCCATGAATTCCCAGGCTACTTTCTCAGGCTGGACTGAGAGAGTTATGTGGCCTGTAATTTCTACAGGCTCTCTGTTTCAGAGTTAGCATCCACAGACAGGCACGGGCCCTTTCTGCCAAGTCTTGCACAAAGGCAGGGCAGGAGATGCCTGGCCACTTTCTCAACCTGTCTGGTCAGAACAGACAAGACAAAGTGGAAAGAGACCATAAACCTTCTCCCAAAATGACATGGTCTAGGTGACAGACCTAGACAGACAGAGCTGTGAGAAAGCTTTTCCTGACTCTGATCAGTATCCAGTTCCTTAAAACCATGCAGGAATTGGTGATCCTTTCGTGCTGAAAGGTGCTGATTCATCTCTGGCACCCCTGAAAGCACTCAAATCCATGTAAAGTCTTACAAGAGATAGTCCAGTTCAGGTGCAACAGGGAATGCACAAAGCACCTATATCACCTGTTGGGGACTTTGATCTGCTGCAGTTTCATCTTTAGTACTTTTTTCACATAAGCCGCTAAAATTTACATGAGTAATTGAAAAGAGGAAAATCTAAAGGGAAGTAATGTTTTTCTGAACAGTACCATGTCAGGGCAAGTAACTTAATGCTTAATTTTCTGGCCTAGATGGCACCAATCCTGTCTTTAGTGGTCAGCCATCTGGAGCTGCTGGCACTTTCAGGCTCAGGGCATGAAGGCAATTAACTCCACAGCGTAAAAGTGTTGTAAGCTCAGAATGATTTCAGAGTAGATCCACTAAGTGGAAACACAGTGTTACTTACTCCAGTCCTGCTGCAGAAATTCCTAAGCCAATTCCTGCTGACATCTTGGTAAAAAAAACGTAAGAGGAATAGAAAATGGTTTCATGTCCTTTCCCATGGGGATTCTGCAGACGAAAGTTATCAACAACATCAGGCAGCATTGACCTAGAAGTGAGCAAGATGAAAGACAAACTCAAGCCAAAATTTCTTTTCAAAGTCCAAAGTTAATGAAATAGAGCACAGCCCTCCTTCATTTTTAAGCTGATTGATGTAGCCATGCACATGAAAGAATCCTGTTCAAAAGGTTCTACTCCTGGAAGGAAGGCATAAAATGTGTAAGAAAAGCATAGCCACAGATTACTATGTAGAAAATCACTGAAAAGCCATCAAACACTTGAGAGGTGACAGAATTTCCTAGTCTGCCTATCATTCCACTCAGAAGTTGTAATATTAAAAAAAGACAAACAAATCCTCCATTTCTTAAGATTTCAAGGGACTCAATGTCTGAATAGTTGCACTCTGAACTAACTCTTTTGACAAGGTAACAACATTTTCAAAAACCAGGGAAACCTTTCTCTATTTCAGAGAAACTGAATTAGGTAACAGGCAATTAGAATGGAAGCTGCTCAAATGTTAATTGTGAACTGACGTTTTATTTCCAATATATGTAATTATTTACTGTTGGAAAAAGAAAGGTCTTCTCACCCTCTGTGCAGAAAAGCTTACATAGTCTGATGACTAATTTCAAACTATGTACTCCATGATCTCTTGGAGTTTTCAGGGCACTGTACAAACAAATTATAAAAAAGTGCTCTCAGCAATGGTCTTGCTTTCTGGTTAATGTAATCTCAATAACAATTATTTAATCTGAAGAGGAAATGTCCTGCCATTCTTGAGTTGTTTTCCCCACTTATTTTCAGTCTTCAAGTCCAAAAGACCTTGAATTCTTGGTTTATTTTAATCATAACCTTGTGTATTTGATCTATAACAGAGGACTACTCAAGCAGGGATACACAGAATCATGGAATGATTTGGGTTGGAAGGGACTTTCAAAGATCATCTAATTCCAGCCCCCTGCCATGGTCAGGGACAACTTCCACTATCCCAGGTTGCCCCAAGCCCCATCCAACCTGGGCTTGGACACTTCAAGTGATGGGGCAGCCACAGCTTCTCTGGGCACCGTGTGCCAGAGCTTCACCACCCTCCCAGTGAAGAAACTCTAAAACTTAATCTAAATCTATCATCTTTCAGTTTAAAGCCATTACTGCTTGTTCTGTAACTACATGCCCTTATAAAAATTAAGATTAGATACAGTTTGCCTTATGTGTCCTCTGCTACATTCTTAATTGCTCAGCATTAATTGATTTACCTACCTTCATAATTCCTGAAGCAATGTTATCACACGTTCTACAACTACTTAGATTATTAATTAAATTACATACTGTCATGTACAAAAAGCAGCTACAGTTATGGTAGATGTACTTTGTTACAGGGCAATCAAGGTCACATCATTGCAAATAGCATCCACTATAAAACCAATAAAAAGTTCTTGGAAGAAGTGACTTTTGCCATATTCTGCCTCTTTCAGAGGCAAATTCCATGCAGTAGTATATACATGTAATGCAGAAATACATTAATTCCCCACCTCAAATGTAAAATTCTCCTACCATGGCAACAGAAGAGACGCTGCAATGCTCAGACCAGAGATGAAGGCCACAAAGTAAGCCAGGATCACATTTGGAATGGTCACTAACATGACTGCAAAAGGAATCATCCACTGAAGAAGAAAAGCATTATATCTAAGTTACAGCATGCACTGTTCAATGCTATACACATTATTCCCTTCAAAATACAAAACTATGTTACAGAACAGTTAACAGCAATGTCTCACACTTCAGTATTTTGGTCAAATTGAATTTCCAAAAAGCCCTGAGCTAATCTGTACTTAACTACCCAGAATAATTGGAGAAAAGTAGGACAAGTGATAGTAGTGTTGTCTTGGCTAGCAATATTACAGCTACAATTGAAATAGTAAATTAAACAGACCCAAGAGCCTATTTACCAACTCACAAACCCTGGCCACATTTATGATCCTAAACAGTCATGGTTTCCAAAAGACCTATGGCCATATAAATACTTTTTCTGAAGAGCCCTAAAGTGGTTGATTCCCAAACTGTGCTAGATAAAATAATAGAATGGTTTGGTTTGGATGAAACCTTTAAAGATTATCTCATTCCAGGCCCCCTGCCATGGGCAGTGGCACCTTCCACTAGACCAGGCTGCTCTTATCCCCATCCAAGTGTTCAAGCCCTGGCCTTGAACACTTCCAGGGATGGAGCACACACAGCTTTTCTGGGCAACCTGTTCCAGAGCCTCTCCAGCCTCAGAGTAAAGAATTTCTTCCTAGTATCCAATCTAAATCTACACTCTGTCAGGTTAAAGCCATTCCCCTTTATCCTATCACTCCATGCCCCTGTAGGAAGTCCATCCCCAGCTCTCTTGAAGCTGCTTTAGGCACTGTAAGGAGCTCTAAGGTCTTCCCAGAGCCTTCTATTCTCCAGGCTAAATAACCCTGCCTGTCTTCATAGGAGAGGTGATCTAACCCTCTGATCATTTTTGTAGTCCACCTTTGGACTCACTCCAGTAGGTCCACAACCTTCTGAGGTGGTGGCTCCCAGACTGGATGCAGTATGGCAGGAGAGGTCTCATGAGAGTTGGAGCAGAGGGGCAGAATCACCTTCCTCAGCTGCTGTCCATTCTGTTTTTGAAGTGTTTGGTTTCGTAGGCTGCAAGCACACGTTGCTGGATCATCTTGAACATCTTGTCTACCAGCACCTCCATTTCTTTCCCCTCAGGGCTGCTTTCAGTCCATTCACTGCCCATACTGTTTGTGTGCTCAGGATTGTCCTGGCCCAGATCAGGATTTTTGCCTGGCCTTGCTGAACTTCACGAGGTTCCCCATGATCCCACCTCTCAAGCCTGTCCAGGCCCTTCAGGATGGCATCCCCTCCATCCAGCGTGTCACCTGCACCTCACACAGCTCAGTGTCACCAGCACCCCTGCCTCGGTCCCTCTCTCCATGCCACTGGATATTGACAAGGATATTGAGCAGCCAGTCCCAGTACAGACCCCTGGGGATGACATCCCTCACTGGCCCCCACTTGGACATTGAGCCAATGACCACAACTCTGGTTGTGGATGGCCACCATCCAGCCCATTCCTTATCCACTGAGTGATCCATCCACTGAACCCATGCCTCTCCAGCTTACAGACAAAGATGTCATTCAGGACAGTGTCAAATACTATGCACAAGTCCAGCTAGACACTGCCAGTTGCTCTTCCCTTATCCATGAACACTGATAATTCTCAGGAGATTGCTAACCAGCTTGGGCAAAGATTTTTCTGCCAGTTAAATAACAGAGATAACCAAATGTCCATTTCTATTCTAGTCCAGTGGAACTATTTAATTTACTATTAGAGACAATGCCTGAAAACATCCTCACACTGCATTTCAGGGGAATGGTAGGGCTTCAGTGGTTATTTTAAACTGTAAATATAACATTTCGTGGATCACCTTCAGTCTTGAATGAGGGAGAACTTGCTTTCTTTTCCAATCATCACTTTAAAGCATATACATACTCAGCAATAACTAAACCCAAAAGTCAGAGTAGTTTACTCCGCTTCCCACAGCTGGATCCACTCATTGTATGACAAGCCACAGAGGTTACCCGCAAAACCAAATTAATTTGGTATGCTTGAGATTTTTTTTTCTGGCAGTAGTCATAGTCACTAGATTTCTTCAACTTCAGCTTGAAGCAATGGGCTTACAGGACTGAAAATCCACTTTTTAAAATGCTGATTGAATGCCTACTGCCCAGCTGTCCTATACCCGTCACATGCTCCATCTCCCACGCCTGTGAACAACAGGCACAGCAGCACATGTAGAATCCAGAACCAGGGGCTTATCTACAGGGCTTTTTAATGATGGGGGATTAGTTTAACATTAAGTGTTTCAATCCTCTATACGTGCAGCTTGGGAGCTGAGGGTATGAGAAGAGCTTTCACAGAGAGTGATTCCCCTAAGCACTGCTATTTACAGTTCTGTATGATAAGTGATTCTGGGAGTCCTGGAGTCTAATCCATTATGTTTATGTTTTAAATGCATTTCCCATCTAAAGCATTTGCTCACAAGCTAAGGAGGCAGAAAATAACCTTTCCTGCCTGCAAGTTCCCAGCACAGGCAGATAATCCTTGCATTAGCCCAGTGTTGTGGCAAAATCGTTATTTCACCACAAGAGAGCACTCCAGCAATATCAGATTTTATGTTGTCTATAAGCAATTTTATGACTGCCTTATGCTCCACATGAGGCACCCACTCAGAAACCAAAGCACTTAAACAAAATTCTAGATCGATAATAATAATCACTGTAACTGTAATTTCCTAGAGAAAGAGAAGCAGGGCCAGCAGGGCTGAGGTTACAATGCTCTAAAGTCTTGCTCATGCAGTGGCAGCGCAGTCATGGGGCAGCACTCCCACTGCAATAAACAGCTAATGCAGCTCCTTCTTTCTTACTTGTAAAGCAAATACTCTGTTATTGGCATCTGCTCCCTTGTCACAAGGCTGCTGCCCTCTGAGTTATGAACAACATCCTACAGCTATCCTGTGCCTCCCATCCATTCCCTGCTGTGTAAGGTGACGCTGCTGGGGTGCTGAAGGTGGTACTGGTCTCTGCAGCAGCACATTATGAAGGGCAGATCAGGAAAAGGTGCAGGGAGGATGAGTGGAAACAGGATGGGAGAGTGGAAACGGGGCTGCAGAGCCAGGACTCATCCAAAGGCATCTCTTCATGCTGCACAGTGCTCAGAGATGGCAAATAAACAATTGCGTATCTGTGAGGAGGTGCTCTTATTTTTATGAAATCCTGCAAAACCCACAGCCAAAAGATATTATTGGCTAGGATGGAAGCTAGTGCTGTGGGAGAGAGCCATCTTTGTTTTTAGACACCTTGTCAAAACTATGAACCAAGAAGATACCACACTTCTTAAAATTTCTCATGACCACTTCCAGTCACCAGCTGAGACTTACAGAGTGTAAGTTCAGTGTTTGCCCGGTGAGGGCAGAGCAGACACCTAAATGAACACAGCATGTGGAAGCTGAAGGAAATAAACAGAAGAGAATAATTTCTAGCCTGTGCCCCAACCTGGTTGTGGGAAGAATGTGATCAAGGATCCTGCTTGGGAGCAGGATAATTCCTGATAATTCCAGAAATTTAGACTTCTAGGAATTTGAGATACTTAATCAGTTAGACTTGATCACCTCTTTTGGTGGAAGAAAGCCAAGATTCTTGTTGCTTATCTACCAACCAACTCCTAAACTCTTTGAAGGCTCTCTTCAACATAGAATCACCTTAACAGGAAAAATTAGTCTGGAGTGCTGTGACTTTTTTTTTCAGGAAACTGAATTTCCAATCACATATTCCCCCTGAAAGCCGCGAGAGGTTATACAGAAAAAAAAATAAAAATTGTTTTCTTCCCTGTCTCATTCCCTTCCAGTAGAACGTTCCCCAATGACAAACTTAGGAGCCTTAAATGATGTGCTTTTATTTCATGGTGGGAGAATACAGATTAGTTGTACAGATCACACAAGGTGGTAGGGTAGGAAGCTCCTGTGATGCATTGTCAGACACAAAATCCATCACTGAGCTCACACTGAGTCCCCTGAGAAATGTCTGCAAGGTGAAACAGAGAGGTGGCTTTTTTTCAGTCCATCCCCCACTTAGACCATAACAGTCAAGCAACTCAACTGTAAAATTAAGTTAAACCATGTTTACAGAGGTGCTGACAGGCTTTCCAGTCATGTAAAACTAAATTTATAGAGCCAAGTTGGTTGAAGAAAGCATTTTTTGTGGCCAAGTAGACAGAGGAGGAGATTTCCTAAGGAGGAAATCTGCAATCCCAGGTCTAGTCAATGGGCCAATACTGCTTTTGACAGTTCTCTTTGCTCAAGTGGTAAAAAGAAATAAGGATGGGGCTCAAATTCCAGATGCCTACTTCAAAACACATAACAATTCAGCATATTTGGAACTTGGGTTTTAAAGTTATTTCTGATTCTCTGGAAGTCATTACAACACAGCTTTTAATTCCAAAAATTATAACTGTTCAACTCTATTCAATAGCTGTCACCAGACCTAAATTTTTCAGCTTTGTTCAGATTTTGACATATAGCTTTGGGCTGGATTTTTCAAGTCCTCCTGCTTTGTTGTACACAAGGCAATTTTTCTTTCCTCTTTCATAAGTAATTGAAGGTAAACAGGGGGAAAATGGGGAGGAACAGGCCTATACAATAACTCACCGAGGATGATGACAGAAAATTGCTGCTGTCTGCACTAAGTAAGGGACTTAAAATAATCCATCAGTGACAAGGGCAGGCTCACTGAGCTGGCTTTACAGAGCTGTGTCAGAGTTAAACCAGGCGTCTTTTCTCAGGTAGGTCACCTTTTTCTTTACTTCACTAATAACTGTCCCTCCCTATTCAGAGGGATGTGGATGCTCCTTGAGGGGGGGTGTGACAGACTTTTCTTCCTTTCCATGGGACTGAATTACCAATGCAGACACCTCAGCACCATATAACAAAGACAAAACAAACCTTGCACAACAGATAACTTGTCAACATGAGGCAACTCAGATCTGAATTTATAAAACCACATTGAAGCTCAGTTCTGAGAGCTTCAAATAAGGAAAACTCATGCAAATTCTTAAATAAGCTGGGACCTCCCTCCAGCATCAATCCATTTCTCAAAAGTTTCCCTTGGAAACTTGGAATCTGTCTGAAATTTGGTATAATGATTTAAAACAAACTCTAGAACTCAGCAAATTTCACATAAATTGAGGTTATAAGCACTTGAAAGAGCTGCTGAAGTGGCCCCAATTGTCAAACGAAATGAGCACAAGCAGAATTTTTTTTCTCAGAGGATTTGCTTACCGAAATCCCACATGCTGCACACTTCTTGCCAAATCTCTGCAGAAACTTCTGCCAGAAGGGAACACTCACAACTGCTGATACCTACAAGAGACAAAACCCCGTATCTGTACTGTGCTTACTTCCACTGACTTCAGCTGTAGAGCTCACAGACATCTTTTTGTCTAGAACATAAAAGCCTGAATGGAAGGTGAACATGCAGATTCTTGTTTCTCCTCATCCTTTGAGTGACTTTTTAAAATTCACTGTTAAGCTATCCGTCAGAGGGTTTTCCACAGTCAAACCTCAGAAGATAGTGTCTTAAAATTTCCTTTTCTAATGCAAGCCACAGCAGTCAAAGCTGTGCTCAGTCATTAAAGTTCAAACATACTGCAAACAGTCACACCTTGTGCTACTGCCTTTTGCCACACTGTCTGAACCTGACAAATGATGAGTGAGTTCAGCTCTACACTATGGTACAGGAAGAAAGCTGAAGTGCAAGGTAAACCTATCCTAAGATATGCTTAAGAGCACATAATCCATACTGTGTGTCCCTTCTTAGGAACAATCTGTAAAGAAATAGTTGTTTGCAGTTGACATTACTGTTTCAGACACTGAAATACTCTCCCACGGCAGCAACACCCACAAGCAATGTAGTGCCTATGCACTGAAGTACTGCTACTAATGGCAGCCTTACACTTGACCTTTATTTAAATGTCATTTAATTGTTACAGTTATATTTCAGTCTTTACTTTACTGTCTCTTGTCTCTCTTCTTGATGACCATCACTTACAGAGACTTAAGATACCCAGCACTCCTCTTTTGCTCTCCAACATCTTGGTTTTAATGGTTTTTGAAAAGATTTGTCTTATAATGTGGGAAAGGATAAGTATCACCTAAGCAAGCAGAATTCTACCTCTGCATGTCAAGAAAAAAGATTCTGTAAAAGGATCTTTTTATCACACTGCCAATTGCTCTAGAGAGGAATCTTCATATTTCTGTATATTTTAGATATTTATCCTTGCAAGCTGCCTAGCCCAGAGGAGTTGTGTGTATGAACATGCAAATTGAAGTTGTTTAATTTTCAGCACATAGGGTTGGGGAAAGGGACAAAGGAGGTAAAAATCCAGACCTCCTTTCTAGAAGCAGCTTCTGTCTTTTATTGAAGCTATGGCTTACAGGTAAAAACAACAAGGAATGACTTAAAAGCTCCAAACCACTATTTTTTTAGAAGTACAGTAGGGAGCAACAGCTTTATTTCAAACAAACAATACAAAAAATAGTATAGGCTCCTAACAGCTCTGCTTAGACACAACACTCTTCTTGTCTTCTGTAATTTTGTGTCAAAGCCCAGCAAGAACCAGGTAACATTTGGGAGAGAAGCACAACTCACCAAGATGGTCACCACCAAATACTGGAAGTGATTCCGGAGGCCAGCAGCGTGCGTGCAGAACAGGACAAAGTTCCCCTGTTCCAGCTGTTAAGACATTTGGTGACCACCAAAAGACAAAGGAAAATTAAAAAAAAAAAAAGACAAAAATTGCATCACACTCCATATTAGTTCAATATAGTTGGTGACTGATTTGTTAAATGTAGGGTTTGGGAGTCTCATTCTTCCCTTGTTTGCAGCAATTTAAAGAAGCAGTGATTGTCCTGTTATCACTGGAATAACATGCCAATAATACTGTGGCAAGCAAGAGCTAAGCCACAAATTCAGTCAATTTTAATAGAGCATAAAATTGACCAAAACAGAAATGGCCCTATGAAAGTATTCTGTCTCAAGGCTTTATTCCCTAAGTCCCAATTGCCTTGTGTTGTCACAGCTGCAGGCTACTGCAAGAAACTGGCTTTTCTCTTCCCCAGCAAGGCTATAAATCTTTCTCTAGAAGCTCTGACTCCAAAACAAGTTACATTTCAGCTGTAATAACACTCCTGCTGACTTCCTGTGGTAAAGCAGCTGGTTTTGTATGCACCCTCAGGTATGGAGTGTAGCTCTGGGTCACATCTCCCTACATCTGAATCCTCATCAGATGGAAGGATCTAACTGCACTGTGTTAGATGACAGGTGAAGCCACTGCCACCACCATGCTTCTGCAGAATTCATTTGGGATTCTGAACACCAGAATATGATGGAGGGCCAGCTCTGCAGAAGAAGAGTGATAGAGGAGGATTTAATACTCATGCCACAGCAGCATGATCAATTCTTGCTCCTTTGTGTGCTTGTAGATTACAGGTGGCCAATCGCCTGTATATAAATTAGGATATCCAAAAAGTTGCATCCTGTCTCTGTTTCCACAAAACCCTTCCCTAGTTTGTGACCCTGTTCATGCTGCCCTAATTTTAGACATGGGATATCACACTCTGGAATTACAGCCAATGCATCTTTACCTGCCCACTCCTTTTGCTGATCAGTAATCCACTATCTAAATTCCACAAAATCAGTGTCCCTCCCTCAAATAAAAGCAGCGAGTGTTGCTCATGCTGGCTCAACTGGAGTAACAGCTTCCAGCTTCTGCCTCCCCTCACACCTTCCCCTCAGTCAGCACAAACAGCCAAACAGAGAGATATGGACTGACAGAATATCTTTTCCTCTCTGGGTGTTGTCAGCAAGTAGTTGCCTGCCAGCAACCAGATGTGCTCTATATCCCTGCTGACTGGGTGGATGCTGGAAGGATGTGGACAATAAGGAACCTTCTATCTTTCATATTCTCCCTATCTCTGCAGTTGCACACAGTACTTCAGCTCCCAGACATGAGCAGAAATAACTTCTGTTATTGTTTCTCACCCTTGGGTATTCCAGCAAGGACTAACAGATGCTGTGCCCAAATCCAGGCAAAAAAGTTCAGCACTTCTTTGGCAAACAAACTTTTAAGCAGCCCTTGCAAGGAACTTAATTCACCAGGACTGCTGGTGAGCACAGCACTGCTCTCTTACACGTCTTATTCTTGCCTTCTGTCCTGATCAATGATCAAACCTTGATCATCGGTTCATGTGACTAAGAGTCTCTTGGCAAAATGTGATAATTATTTTATTTTCAAAATAAAGCAAACTTTGAGTGATATATACAAGTTCAGAGTGAAATAATATATTTACTGAATTGAATATGTCTTAAAAGTCAGGATTAAAAAGCCTGCTGTACTTATGGGGAGTGAGGGTTTCTTACTGAGTGGCTTTTCTACAGCTCCTCTCTATGGGAGGATGCCCCACATCTTTTCGTGACAGCCACATCCAATTGCAGGTCCTCATTTCAAAATGAGCTCTACCTAATTCTGAAACAGGTGATGCCTCCTGCCTCTGAATGTCTTCTTATTCTGACCTAATGCCTTCCATCACAAAAGATTCCACAAGACCCAGTTCAGCCACTATCTGAGAGCAGTCACCTATGCAAAGGAAAGGGGCAACAGTTTAAAGCACAGAGAGAGGAATAGATAGAACAGAAAAAGCATTCTCTAAGCAACTGAAACCACAGGAGACTGTGCATGGGTAACACAGAATGACCCAGACTGGGTCACTAGGACTAGTTCTTCACCTTTTATGAAAAAAAAAAAAGGAAAAGAAAAAAGAAAAAAATAAATCTTTAAATGGTCAGGACTTTGGCTTTGCTTCTGCTTTGTAAGAACCATCTCCAGCCACACAGGACCCCAGGCACCAAAGGAGGACTCTGGTTCCCTACTGATTTACAGGGGAAGGCAACACCCCCCAGATCACCCCTCCAGTCACCAGCCAAAGGTTATTTGCATTTCAGACTCTCCCACGCTGGGAGTGGAATGAGGCCAGCACACAGACTGAGAGGGTCTGAAGTTACCTGAACTGCTGTCGAGATGAGAAGAAATGAAGCTGTAAGCTTCACATATGGACCATGCTTCATGGTGAGTGCAAGCCCCTTACAAAAAGGAATTGCTCTGTCTGATTTTAAGGCATAAGGATCTAAGAGAAGCAGAATACATAAAATAAAAATCTTTTCAGTACAGGAATGTGAAATAACTATTATTAAAGTGAGGCATATTTAAATATAACTTACCATCCCTTTCCTTTACTCCAAGAAAAAGAATGACAATTCCAAGAAGATACACACCTGCTATGACCCCTGCTGCAATCATGTAAACTTTTGCCTTTCAAAAGGAAAAAAAAAGACATTTGAAATTGTGACAGGAGAATGACAAGTCATTATGAAAATTTCAGTCCCTTTTTGGTAAGCCACCTGAAAATGAAGAAATACTCATCTGCATACAGCCAAATGCCTGTCTGCTACCTTGCTGAAAAATGTTCACTTCTGCAGTTCCTTTATAAACCACACCTGCCTTAGGATAAATTCAGGGCATATAAGTATATATTTCTTAAAAAAAAAAAAAAAAAAAAAAATGAAGCAGTGAACAAAAGGGTTACTGTGTTGGCAACCTGAATATTTTAAAAATTTGCTTATGTAGAGACTAACTACAGACATACACAGTCACCTAATCAAAACCATGCATCATCCACAGAGGCATTCTCATTTTCAGTAAGTCCAGTTGATCTGGCTACACAGACCACAATCTGGAATTTCATGGTAGATAGGAGAGCCCTCAGTACTGATGTAAACATGATGATAATAATGGAAATTATGTATTTTAGAAATCATACGTACATGCCAGTGTTTTGTGTATGGTACCTTGCATGCTGGTTTTCCCACTTATTTAGTGAAATATCCAAGCAAATTCAGAAATCTTTGCTTCTATTTAGCCAGGGGAGAAAAGCCTCCAAGGATACTTCCCACACCACCAGATCACACTTACTGCTGCTAACTCTGATTACACTGACTTTGGATTAAAGCTTTAAAAAAAATTTTGCTTTAGTATAATGTAATAATTTACCTGATAATGTGTTATCAAAGATAGCTTATAGAGCTTTATGAAACAATGATTACTTGATAGGATAACTGAATTCCAATTTATTGGTTATATGTTGTAGATGAAGTTATTGTAAGTCTAAGAAGAAGTTGGTAAAAAAAATGCAATTACAAGAATGTACTTCAAAATATGAAGACATTAGTATAGGTGCAAATTTATCCAGATGAACCATGTAAGAATAGAAAATTTTCAAGAAAACTGCTTTTGTTAAGATGTTTACATTTCAGAAAATAACATGGTGAGATATAGGAATGCAGCACTATTCTTCAGAGCTATAAATTAAGTAACAGAGTACTTTCACACTGTTAGTTATGGCTTGCAGAGAATACAGAGTGCAGCAGTGGAGACACCTGAATTCACTTAAACAAGGCAATTTCAGCCTGAAATGTAGCTGAGCCAGGAGAGAAGGGGATGAAAAAAAAAGATGGCAACAGGACTCCTTTATTAATTCTCTATTTTGTTTTTATGTATTTGTTAATTTGCTTGAAGCATTTGAATTAAATGTTGTGTTTCATAGGCCATCATTAAATGTAATTTGAGCTTAAACCATCAAGGATACTCATGGCAGGCCAAGTAAGATTCTCTAACCCTGAACAAAACTTGTTAGACCATCTACAACTCTATCAATATTCATGTTTGGTTTCCAGTAATAAAGATCCATTCATAAGCTTATAGTAACAGCTTCAGGAGAGCTTAAAAATAACCATTTCTTCCTCTTCCTTTCTTTCAATAAGGAGAAAAATAATATCAAGTTGTTCACTAAGTGCTTTTTAAAACTATATGTGCTCTTGAGCAGCTAAGAATTAGTCCTTGTGACAAAAAGAGTCAGACTCCTGAAAGGCATTAAAAGAAAGTCAAGATTTGCCCTCTTCTAAATACTTCCTGATGGAGGTACTTCAAATTCAATTAATCTAGTCTTGCCTCAACTTGTAACTTAATGCCTATCAGCCATACAACCAAAATTCAAGATCCATCAAGATCCAATTCAAGATCTCCTCTTTACTGTGCAATTAATTAGGTGCATATTCTGCTGTGTGTGCTGTGAACAAAGGGCAGGTTTCCAGTCACTCTGCAACTTCTTCAGATCTGAAAAATGTTTGTGTCTAAAAGCTTTCCCATCATTTCCCAGTTTCAGAATCTAGTTTAATGAAAGATAATGCCTCTATCTACAAACTCTGGCTACTTTAGGCTATAGATTTCTGTTAGTTTTTCAAAATAAAAAACTACTTGACATTCACCTCATTGTGAAGTTCCTTTCTCAATCTCCCTCCTACCTCAGAAAGGACAGGAAAGTGCATGTGGTTAGACAGAAAGGAAATAAATCAAGATTGTGTATTTTTTTTCCCCTTGAAAGCCATTTCAGAGATTTCAAAATAGAAATTGGGGAATTTAGTCTGAAGTAGATTCAGATAGGGAATCTGCTGTGCGATGAAATTCAGTTTGTGCCATGACTTTTCAAGATACTCACCCCAACAATTCACAGAGGTGTAATAAACACAGTAGTGTTCTAAATCAAACCATTGTCCCAGAAGCTAAAAAGGAAGGCAGGATGATGTTCTGTGCCTTGTTGAAACACACACTACAAATTACCAAACAAGCATCTTCAAAAACACCTTATTCAGCCATAAAATGCCATGGCCACTTAGAGAAGCAGCCCAGCTGTCCTCTGACTGTTGCCCAGATCAGCTCTATCAGCCTGTGCCAAAAAAAAACAAGGATCAGGTGGCACAGAGGCAAAGGATAGGAATGGGGGGAGGCGAGGTTTCATCCCTTTCCTAGACCACCAGTGCTGAAGCCAGAGTGTACAAATCCAAAACAGAGATAAAAAGAAGCCTTTAGTTTGTGATTTTACTGCTGCTGGAGCATGATAATAGGAGCTACTCCACTGCATTAGGAAGAGCACAAATATGTATTTTCTCATTTACATCAAGCATTTGAGATTAGATTCAGGTCACGGAATCTTCTTCATGGATATTATATATATACAGGTTGGTACTTGCACTGACAGAGCAACAGATGAAAGTTTAAAAAGAAAGGATGAATCCAGCAGTTGGTAACTTGGAACCAACAATCTGCTGATTTCACAAGTGACATAGGAAAAAACACTACACAATGTAATTGTTTAAGTCAGAGACTCTTTCAAGACCACTGCAAACAATGGAAGACTATCAAATTGTGCTGAGGTTTGGATCAGGTTTTAGGTTTTCCTCCCAGATATAAAACTTTGTTTCTCAAAAAATATAAAACTCAAGTACAAGGAGATCAAATTATTTATGCAAAATTACAGGAAAAGCCTGTCATGGGAAATTAAATAAACAAGCATGGATCCCTAGGTTCATTCCACATGTTAACCACTGAGATCTGCCCCCACTAATGGGCTGTTACCAACCATTTACTTTTAACAGTGCTTTGTATCTTCACAAAAGTACAGATTCCAAATAGGACTTAGAGTTTCATTAACAAAATTGCCATTGGTCTGTACAGGAGATCTCCAGTGGTAACTCTTGGAAATCAGTGTTGCTGAACTGAAAGATCCTATTGTAGCCAACATTTTTTCATGGAATCATAGAATGATTTGGATTGGGTGGGACTTTCAAAGATCATCTCATTCCAACCCCTTGCCATGGGCAGGGATATCTTCCACTATCCCAGGTTGCTCTGAGCCCCATCCAACCTGGCCTTGAACACTTCCAGGGATGGGGCATCCACAGCTCCTCCAGGCAACCTGTGCCAGGGCCTTGTCACTCTCATCGTAAAAAAAAAAAAAAAAAAAAAAATCTTCCTAGTATCTAACCTCTTTCAGTACCTCCCTAATGTACCCTATTTCAGTTTAAAACCATTCCTCCTTGTCCTGTCACTACAAGCCCTAGTTAAAAGTTTCTTCCATCTTTCTTAAAACCCCCTTTTTTGTACTGAAAGGCTGCAATAAATTCTCCCTGGAACTTTCTCTCCTCCAAGCTGAACAAATCCAGCTCTCTCAGTCTGTATTCACAGGAGAAGTCCTCCAACCTTCTGACCATTTTTGTCTCCTCTGGCTCTGCTCTAACAGGTCCATGTATTTCTTGTGCTAGGGACCCTAGGACCAGATGGAATATTTCTGGAGAGGTAAACTGCTTTTCTTACTAAGCTTCTATAAACTGTAAATCAGCCCCTGGTGAAAACAAAGGGTGGCCATGTCCCTCCCAAGCTGCTTTATGGGTTTGGCACCACCTGCAAAGCTCCTCAAAGAAATTCTGGTGTCACACTGAGGAGGGGTTGCAAAGACAGCAAAGATGGAAATCATTGTCTGCAATAAGGTCATCGCCTCAGTTCCAGCATCACAGATTTCAAGGAAGTTGTGTTCATGCTCATCCAGCTGGATATGATATGGTATTAGAGAAACATCCCTACCGTCCTCTGTAGGATATTTTAATGTGCTCCCATAGACACTTACCTGATGAGACAGGGGATCTGAGGGGTCTGGAATGCTGGGAGTGTCATTCCAGGAGTCACTAGTGTTTACTGAGGGATTCACAGTGCAGTGAGGAGAGACATGAGCACTGGCCACAATCTGCCCCTGAAGTGCAGCTCCAATCAAGGTCCCAAGAACTTCCATGGTCATTCCTAAAGAATAGAAGCACAAATGTGCACTGAGGATGAGAATCTTGCTCATCTGTCTCACTGAAGATAAATGTAATCAAATCATTTCCTCTTACAGGAATGAGCAATGCCAAGAACTGAACTGAAAGGTCAGTCACAGAACAGTTTCAAGGAAAGAGAGTTTTGTCATTTATTTTCTGATGAGCTTCGAGAAGCATCATCCATGAAAGAGGCATTTCTATACAAGCTGCATGAGAGATGGGAATGCTGAGATTTAGAGACACAAGGGGATAACGCGGAGATCTTTCATCTTGAGGACCAGAGTGGAACAAATTTTTAAATGCCATTTTTTCCAAAGCAGGACTTGGAGTCATGATGTCAGACTGTTTGTATCAAACTTGACAACAACTTGTGAAACACTTATTAGATAAGACATCTGAGTCCTCCAGCTGTAAAATAAAGTGATACTTGTCCCAGGTTTATAGAAATAGTTCAGCTACAGAGGTCTTGGAGAAAGCAGGTGCTGTTGTTACTTGCCTAAGGCCAGAGTCATGCAGATCTACCTACTTCAACCTAAGAGAATGATTCAGACCATTAATTATCACCAGAAGAAGGAATCATCTAAAAAAAAAACAACCAAAGCCTCCATTTAGGAAACTAACTATGGGCATCGTCTCATGAAGTTGAACAACAACTTGACCAGGTGTTGCAGCTCTGTTAAGGAAAATGGTGAAAAATTTGGGTTCTAGACCCTCCTCGCTCTAAGGGATTTCAAGCCTCCTGTGTCTGTTTCTCTGCAATATGGCCATATCTATCATCCCCATGGCCAGGAGATAAACTGAATTCCTGTCCTAGCTCCAGAGACTCTTTACACACTTTGCATAAAGATACATTAGGGCTGAATGAAGAGATTGAGGATGGGGACAAAGTCTCCCCATTCGGAAATGAACTTCTCATTGACCCAAATATCAGGCTTTTTTCCTATTGTTTCTCTTTCAGTGGCTCCCAGGGTCATATGTTCCTTTCTGAGAAGCACCATAGAGGATTCTGAAGGGATGCTTCCACAGCAGGTTGTGTCCTGGTGGTTATCATGCTCCCTCTGGGAAGTGACAGGTTTTTCAAAAGCTCCTAGGTTCATGTTTATTCAAGTCTCCTGATCTGTAACAGCCTTCCTAGGTGACCTCAGACTTTTTGTGGGTCCCTGTAAAGGAATATAAATTCTTCACCATCTAAAGGGAGGGCAACGCACACAGATTGTGAAGGGTTCAGACAGCACAGCAATGCAGGCTATGTGCAGCTATGCAAGATCCAGTAAGGAAAAGGGAAGAGAGGCTCCCTAGGAGACCTGGACCTTTTAAACCACTGCTACTTTGTTCCCAAACTGAGAATGCCTTTGAGTGGAAAATTTGAGGCACCATGTAGCATAAATTTAAACCAATGGGAAGTAAAAAAAGCCCCTTCCCCAAACTTCACATCCAATCTTACCAGCAATGCTGTAATTCAGTCCATGCACACGAAAATCCTGGCAGATGGTGGAAACCTAACCCAAATCTGGCCTGAAGTGTTTGGACACAAACTGGTCTCAGTTGGGCGTTGCAGAGCTTCCAAACTCAGTGCAAAGGCAACACACTCAAATCACACCTTTCATTCAAAACACCACCTACACATTCATAACCTTTGTCTAGGGCTCCTCATCTGCATTTTATCAAGCACTTGCATAGAATAAAACTCTGAAGTGTCATTAGAGGCACCAAAAAGACAACCACTGTGAAACTTCATTTTCTAAGTAGTAGCAAGAGCTGAGGAACAGGTATCCTTCAAAGTTCTTGTGTGCTCAGAATTTATGATGTATTACTTTCCACATCAGTTGATAAAGCTGATCTGCCAGCAGATTGTACCTTGAAGTAGGTTACATTTTGGCCAGAATATAAGTAGGAATTATGTTAAAGCAGCTTTGGAATCCAGTATTTCTACCCTGCATTAATAGCAACAGCAGAATAAAATTTGTAATAAGCAGTTCTGCTTGTCTCCAGCAGAGGGTAATGGATCCTCTGATCCCAACCTTATTTTTAAGAGCACACTTCATATTACACAGCTGTTTTTCTTTAACAGTTGAAGAAATGCCTGAACAACAGACTGCATCCAAGACAGTCTATCAACAAGAACTCTCTATGAAGCCCAAAGAGAGGCAAAAGTGTTTAAGTAAAACAAAAAAGAAAACTATAAAAAACAAAGTTCTCACATAAGCATTACAATTAAAACAAAATTTTGCTCCAAACAAATATCATATCAACATAGACAAAAATACCAACATTTGAAAAGTCAAAACTATGGTTCATTCCACCACCTTCATTTGGTTTAGGAGAACAGCTGTACAATCAAAAGTTAAACTCTTTCTGAACAATAAAATGACACTATAAATGTGTGACACCTCCCAGCCATGAAGTTCAACAGCTTTTATAAGTTTCACATGCTGATGAAGCCCAGCATAGCAGAACAGAAAGCACATTTATTTGGATCACAGCCTCTGAAGACATAAAACCAGACAATAGAAAACACTAGGTACATGGGTTTAGTTAGAATTTAGGCCAGATGACTCAGAATACAATCAGTGACAAAGAATACAACACAACTGGAATCTCCTGCTGTTTAGTCCTGTCCTGTGACTGCCAGTCCAGACTTTTTCTTAAAGATAGTTGATGATAATGCAAATTACAACATTCCGTGTCTCTGGAGAGGGATTGGGCTGCTCAGGGGATTTCGTATCTAGAATTTTGACATTACATTTTTAGTACTTTTTGCTATTTCACTGTGCCTCTCTGGGTTTCAACATAATCAAGTATGTTGAGGGTTAGAAGGACTAATGGAAGAGAAAAGGGATCTTGCTAGGAAGAGAAAACAGATGCCACAAAAAAAACCTACAAGTTATTCTAAAGCAACACTGTAAGGACAAGTTAAGACATAGAAAAGTTTTTCATGTAATATTTGACTTTTTTCTCTTTACCTTGCTTAATGCAGTTACACAGTGAAGAAGGCATGAGAACAGAGCTGAAGAGAAAAAGAGGGGAGGAAACTGTTCTTGCATTCAATTTATGATCTATACAGGAAATCTTGAAAATATTTTCACTGCACTTTTTTTGGTCTGATTGATTTGCTTCAAAGCTAAAATTTTGTCTGGTTTTGGTTGTTGAAGAGCCAGAGATATGGTCTGGAAAGCCTCATTCTTTTAACTAATACACTCAGAGGATCTGAACAAGATCTGCCTTTAAGCTTCCAGGTGTATGTAAGAATTAATTAAAAAGTCACAGATGAAATGAAAAAAGAGATTTCAGTTGGTGTGAACATGCACACAAAATTACTTTCCTTTTTGGTGAGGTCAACTGTCTTGGTTCTATGAGTTCTCAATTTTTTTTCTGAGAAAACAGGGTTGGGACTTGAATTTATAACACAAAACACATAAATCTGAGGAAATATCAACTAAAAAAAGACAGCAACAAAACAAAACAACAAACCCCAAATAAAACCAAATCAACAAACTCTTCAAAATTACTTTCATACTTTCTTTAATTGAATGTTTCTTGGTTTTTCCCTTACAAATCACCTTTAAATTAAATCAATAATCCTTACCCTGACTTGGTTAAGAGTTACTTTTTATTGTTTCCTCTGGCTAGCAATAAACCAAAAAGAGTTTATAGCTAGTCAGACAATTTGAGACAATTAAATATTAACATCTCCTACTTAACTAGAAAAATGCAATTCCTTTGAAGACAAATTAGTTTTCATCACATATTAAAACATTCTTATAAAAGTCCAGTTTAGGAACACAAATCACTAGGAACTTCCTATAGATTAAGAAGGATTTTCAATAAAACTCAGACCAAATCCCCAAGAGACAGCCCAGATCACACTCACTATATGCTGTTGCAGAATCTCTGTCCTTCTGGTCTGTGCTGAGAAACATGGTGAGGGCAGAATATGGTACTTGGAATAACTATGGAAAGAAAGAACATGACTTAGGAAATGTCAGGGTAAAGCTGCTGTATGTCTTTGATATCCAAGAAAATGGTTTAATGGGACCTTGGAATTAATTTAGTACATCAACTCAGAACACTGAAAACCCTAAACCAATTTTTTTAGCACAAAGGCCCGCCTTTTCTTTCTGGTTTGTAAAGCATATAAAAGGAAAAAAGTACATTTCAGAATACAAATAATAAATAATAAAATACCCAGAGGGTTTACCTTGATGTTGCACTCCTTCAGTTTCCTTGGGAAAACATCCTTCACAGAGAGACTCAAAAGAATTTTGCTTTCTTTGCACTAGGGACACTACTGTGTTCCTACCTTAAGCTAACCAATAGGAATCAAAGCCATAAAGAAGAAATACAGTTTTCCACTTTATTCAAGCCAGAAGACTACAAAAATACACAAAAATATTTCAAATATCAGTCTAATTATGTAAATCCAGGAGATAATAGTGAAAACAACTCTCTCTTTCAGCACCATTGTGCCACACAATCCTTAATTTAAGTTATGCATAAGTTAATAGCATTGCAAAGTAGAACTGGGACATAAACCTGCCTGAACAACCATGTTCTCTGTGGTGTTCCCACCACAACAGAGATCTGTAGCCAAATTAAATCTTGCACTCTGCATCACACAGTGTTTGTACAAAATGCATTTCTGCTCACCTCCACCAAAAATGGCAAGTGTGTACACTTTCAAATCTCTGCCATGAAAACCCTGTGTTTCTCTTTCAAAAGAAAGAGGAAAGAATTATTTAAAATCATTATGGATGTCTTCTGGACTATCTTTCTACTGGGGAAACAAAGGACCTAGGGAAATATTCAAGCTTAACATAGGAATACAAAATTCCTAATCTGCTCCTGAGAACAGAAGTTATGAGAAGTTGGATTTCTAACTGGAATTAGGAAACTGAACATCTATACAAGAAGGAGTTGAGAGCACTGGAGGTAACCTGGATGAATTAGCAGTTCATTTACCAGAAAAAGCATTGCCAGAAACCATCAGCCAGCAGAGAGTTTGATAAAAGGGCATCTGCCTGTCCCTTAACCTCACTAGAAGTTGAAGTAAAATGTGAAAACAAGTTTACTAAATATGAATGCTTTAATATAGACAGACAACAAGCAAGTTACTGCTGAGAACATCAAGACCTGTAATCTACTTACTGTAGTCAGTGCTTGGAAAAGGCAGTGGAAAGTCAGATACCAAGCAACTCTTCCTGATACAAACGGAGGAGGGTACCACATAAAAAAATAGGAGACTATAGTGAAGGGTGTACATGCCAGCACCCTGAGAAGAAAATTAACACACATCAATAATCTCAAAATAATGATAGCAAAGCACATTAAATTTTCCTGCTAATAATCAATATAACACAATTTATTTTACATGCAGTTTTTCTAACTGCAGCAATGTATGTTTTAAATATCAAAAGTCAGTGTGCATTGAATACACAGATTAATATAAAATATATTAATATATTCATTATATATAAATAGATAAATATATGTTATATATATTTTTATCCTACTATATTAATATTAATACAAAATATATAAATACACAGATTAATACTTTCATAAAGTGGAAGAAAAAACAGCAAGTCTGAAAGAAAAGAGCTACGCTTAAACTTATATCCCACTCAGAATTTCCTTTCACATGCACTGTAACAGCACACCTATATTGCCATTCCTTGGCAAATGTGTCAGATTATACATTTATTAGAAAGAATCACTGAAAACTAAGCTTGTCATCATGTCTTTGCATACTCCAGAAAATTTTACATGAGTTTACTAACTATTGAGATTCCCTCTTCTAATTTTAGTGCCTTTGGTTTTCCCCTGAACTTAGTCTCTTCGCTGCTACTTTAAGCAAGTGCAAATATGTTGATACACTTAAAAATACTGAAAAAAGCCTAAGAGACAATGGACAGCCTTGTTGTGAAAGCTCCTACGCTCTGTGTCTAGTTGGGTATATGAGCATTTCCTCCATTTAACTCCTAATCACTTCAAAAACAAAAGGATCATCTTTAGAGAGGAAGGTGGCTTAAAAAAAAGAAGCACAGAAACTTATATTCCAGACATTGCCATTAACCAGCAATTAATGACATTAGTCTAAAACTTATTTCAGACAAATACTTGTCTGAACTTGTCAAATTTGTCTAACTCCATGATACAGAATTGGTTAGCTGTTATTATTTCCTAAAAGTCTGAGCTGCAGCATCAGGCATGTCCTGTATTCTTGTAAATCAG